TTTACACATAGTCCACCAGGCGGCGCCAACACAAAAGTCAGAGACTTCAAATGAGATTTGGACCATCTTGTGGGGAAAAGCAGATTATTTGTGTGAATGTGAGTGTGAATGGGTGAATGTCTGTTAGTGTAAAGCGCTTTGGGGGTCCGGAGGGACTTGAAAAGCGCTCTATAAGTTCAGTACCATTTACCATTTACCATTTACAAAAAGTAAAACCTGTTTTTAGCTAATGCTAGCCTGTTGTCTTCCTAAATAATCCAACTTCTTTCCATGTTCTTTCTCTCAAATTAATCAGGGTTATCTTTAAACACCTTTAAGACTACATAATATTAAGAATTAGAAAATAAAATGTCTCTATAATTCAGTTGTACTAGTTTTTATCAAATTCAGTATAAACTATATATAGTATTTTTCTTATCCATGAATGTTTTTTCTTTTGTCCTGAAGTGTAAAAATATAAATAAATATTAAAATTCACAATATAAATTTTTGTTTTATAATGTCACCTCCACTGGCCATAAAGGTTCACAAAAGGGTCTTGAAAAGGTCCATGGACCATCAGTTGATAATCACAGTTGTAGCTTATTTTGCAGCTCTGGACACATTTTATTTAGTGAACTGAGGAGCAGAAATGGCTCTTTTGATTGCAAAGTTTGCAGACCCCTGTGTTAGATATATATTTTTGTAATATACTTAGCACAATGTGTGCTTGGTACATTATTTCTTTGTTGTAACCAGGGGGTGCACCACGATTTCCTTAAACTTGGGAGATCAGCCGATACTTATATAAGATCAGTAGAAAAGATCAGCTTCTGTTCTGCTTCCACAAAGGTCTGGAAATCAGCCACTGTCCTCTTTTGCTCTGCTGTGAGCTCTACCCAAGTTAAAACAAGTTTTAATTGTTTCAAGGGCATTGTTCAATGTTTTTCAGTAAAATAAGCACACTGAAGGTGTATTGTGACCTTATAACACCTGATCCATTATTCAAAAGAGCTGAATCGGACAAAGTGGGTCAGACTTTTTAAAGGTCAGTGATTGGCCAGAAAACTGCAATCGGTGCAGCCCTTGTTGTAACAATGCTTCCTCACAATAAATCTTATAAAGTTGGAAAGTCTGTTAATTTCCCTTTTAAATGGTGCCACGCTTGTAAGGAACATGCATTTGTGGGATGAGCAGTAGATTTTCAGAAATTTGCCAAATCTTATGACTGTCAAACAGTTTATTCTGTTGTTATTGACTCTTGTTTTGAGCTTCTGGTACCTCCATGTGCCCAAGATATGATTTATTAGCAAGAATCATGGTTACAACAAAAAATAAAAATCTACTAAACACTAATTTTGAGAAAATTTGCTGTTAACTCCAGGTTTGATCATTTTATTTATCCTTGTGCAGAACATAGAAACTAATACAAAATATAAATTTATTGACACATTATAGAGTTTTAGCCTCAACTCTGTGTTTTAGTCTCAAATGTTACCCATCTTCATCATCATCATCCACAGAACGTATTGCGTCTGTAACAAACTGGCAATGTGTTTAAATGAAAAATGTAACCAACATAGACAATTTTAAAGTAACTAAAATAGAGAAATAACATATTAAAGCCAACATGTGTAAGCAGTCAGAGACCCCTTTAAAATCCCTCCAGTAAAAGGAAAAAAAATTGTATAGGTCCTCTGGACGGGTTCTTCTCTAATGAAACGTTTCGTCTCTCCTCCAAGAGACTTCTTCAGTCTGAGAG